TTTTTTTTTTTTTTTTTTTTTTTTTTTTTTTTTTTTTTTTTTTGTAGGCACGACAGGCAGAGCTGGAAGCAGCACGTTTGGCAAAGGAAAAGGAAGAAGAAGAAGCCAAGCAGGCAGCCCAGCAGGCAAAGAAAGAGAAAGACATCCAGAAGAAAGCCATCAAAAAGGAGAGACAGAAACTCAGAACCACCTGCAAGGTAAACTACTGAACAAATGCCTCTGATAGATGGTCTCTGATTAGGATTGGGCCGGTATCAAATTCTGACTATGTGACTACTTTGAGGAAAAATATCACGGTTTCACGGTATTATTAGAGCTCTGAAATGTGTTATTTCAAAATGTCTGCGTGAAAAAAAAAAAAAAAAGTTTCCATTAAACAATAGTCTAACGGTCTTAATAAATACGAAACATTTAGACAAACTGGGACCAGCACAATCACCAAGCTGTCTTCCTCTATAACCCAAAACGTCGCTTTTTCATTTCCATGAAGTCAATAACTTGCCCTCCAATTTGGCATACAGTCGTTTTAGATGAGTTTCCGATCCAGTCTGCGTCTGTAAGATGCTTATATCGGAGGAATGGCGTGACAGGAAGTTTGCGGGTTTTAAAGCTGACTTTTTCCATATTGTCTTGTACCATGAAACCGTTAACTGGCCCATACCTACCTCTGTTTGATTACATTGATTATTTTTTTTGCAAAATGATGCATCCAGATTACCTCCTTCCACAGAACTGGAACTACTTTGCTGAGAACGAAACGGACAGCGTGAAAATGATGGAGGAAGTGGAGAAACTCTGCGACCGGCTAGAACTGACAAGGTTCTAAAGTTAACCATTCTAAGATCCCCTTTATGAGTTTTAAGGATGTTAGAATTTTGAAGACTCATGCTTCTATTCCATACTTAAGATTTTGTTCACAGGCGGATGTGAATCTGTGGATCAGGTTAAAACAAAGGTTTGATAAGTAGTTATTGGGGAGGAAGCAATAAGGACTGAACCCATTTGTGTGACTGAACTGGAACAAAATTCTAACGTAGCAGTGTAATATCTTCCACAATTCAGATGGGTTTTAGAAATGACAAAGTCTAATTTTGCTGTAATAGAATGAGCATGTAAATGGATATATATTTTTTCATTTCAGTCTGCAGTCCTTGAATGAAGTCCTGGCCTCTGGCTCTAAACAAGATTGCAAGGCAGCAGTTGAGAAACAGGTTAAAGAAACTGTGCTGTGTTTATTTGTTACTTTGAAATGTCTCCCACGAACGCCATCATTTTCGCAGATTGAGATCATATTTGCTAAAAAATGTTTTCTTGTTTTGGTTTTTACCCAGGTGGAGGAGGTCAACGCCCAGATGCAGAAGGAGAGGGAGGCCGAGTTTCAGGCCAGACAGGCGGCTCGCAGCGCTGAGCAGGCCAGTGGAGGGGGAGGCGGAGGTGGAAAGGGCTGGAACGAGGAAGACCTCCAGCTCCTCATCAAAGCCGTCAATCTGTTTCCAGCTGGAACCAACGCCAGGTAGCGACTCTGACGTTACACAACAGGAATAGCAGAAGTTGTGTGGAAAGTACAGTCATTTCTCTGGTTGATTTTTAGGCTGGTGTTGTTTTTAAAAAAATACCATTTAGAAAAGTTAAAAACTTTTGGGTTTTGAGGGTTATTACAGATCCATCTGCAGAGACAGACCTCAAACATCTTCCCCTTGAGTTGTTTTTTTTTTTTTTCCACCGCACTCTATTAGCATGACAGTTAGGGTAGAAAAGACTCTCATTAACATTAGGGGAAGCTGACTGTACTGTAAAAGGTAAAAGTTCCTACGTCCCTTGGTCACTTCAATTAGGCTACGTTCACACTGCTGCCCAAAGTGACTCAAGTCTGACTTTTTTATTACAGTATATTTTTCGCCTAATGCCTCTTTCCTGACGGTGTGAACAAAACTGATCAGACTTTTACAAATGTGACCCAGACCACTTGGGCTACGTTCACACTGCAGCATGAAGTAACCCAAATGGCAGGGGTTACTGGCCGGAGAAGACGCAATAATGTCACATGTAGCGAGCATGCTCAGTGTTTGCAATCCAGCTCTTCATAAAATGGACTTGTGACACATCCCCAGCCACTTTGTTTGAGTCTTAAGGCTTCTTATATTTGGCCCGAAGGCTCTTTATTTTTCTTTGACACTGGAACCAGGAACGAGCTCTACTTGATAACTGTTTTGGCTTTTTTTTTGTCAAATTCACTTAAGTTTAGTCTTGAAAAGCCATTGTTTAACTGGGGGGACCTAACATAGCTTACTGTTTATTTGTAGATGGGAAGTTATCGCCAATTATATGAACTTGCACTCCACCAGCGGCATAAAGCGGACAGCCAAAGATGTCATTAACAAAGCAAAGAATCTACAAAGACTTGGTAAAATCACATTTACTCTTTCTTGTACACAACATGTTTGGACTTGTGCTTTAAACATTAATGGTCAATTTGAATGAATGTTTATAGAAGCTAATCGTACCTCTATCGAATCTGAAACATGTTCTGATATATATGCCGTCCTAATAAGATTTAATAAGCTTCTATCATTAGATTAAAAACAAACAACCATTACTGTTCTCATCATGTCTTAAGATCCACTACAGAAAGACGAAATAAACAGAAAAGCGTTTGAGAAGTTCAAGAAGGAACACTCCTGTGTGCCGCCGTCCATAGACAACGCTGCACCCTCAGAGAGATTTGATGGTAAGTGAAATTGGAAATGTGAGAGATTGTCTTGGCATTATTAAAATTTCACATTTTAGAAGCCAGTTGTAACTTTCACATTCAATTTAGTCTGGATCAAAGAATCAGTGCGGTCATATTTACCTTCTGGTTTAGCCAGACCTTTTATAACTTGCCAAGATGGATTTAACTCTAGCTCAGATCACTGAAAGGGTCATTCTAGCTTTGCATAACTACTGTTGCCATATCTGGTCCTTCAGCCTCTGGTAGCGAAAGTAACGCCGCCCCCTGGACCACAGAAGAACAGAAACTTCTGGAACAAGCACTCAAGACCTATCCAGTCAGCACACCTGAACGCTGGGAGAAGATAGCTGCTGCTGTTCCTGGACGAAGCAAGAAAGACTGTATGAAGAGATACAAGGCATGTAGACCCGATTCTGAGATTCTTATCATTTTGAAGAATGTAGAGTGCTCTTAATCTAACGATTCCTTTTTTTTTTTTTTGTTCTGTTGACAGGAACTGGTGGAAATGGTTAAAGCAAAGAAAGCTGCTCAGGAACAGGTGGCAGGCAGGAAAAAATGACAAGAACCACAACCGATAATAGAATCTGTGTTATTTTAATGTTATTGTGTTGTTCTTTATTTTATAATAAAAAAAATTGACTAGGGAAGTGACGTAAATATCTTATTTTATGCTGTACAGTTGGAAGTTCTTCAGTGGGATTCTGCTCAGGATCTCATCCAAAACATCCCACTGCGTATCTGATTGTAGTCTGGTAGCTGTTCAATAGGACCTGGGGCAAAAAAAAAAAAAAAAGATGAATGCATTGCTTTTTGTAGCTGCAGCCAACTTTTTCTAAAACAATTTCTTAAAGCAGCTGCTGAGCTTTCCAAAACTGCATAAAAACTACATAACCATTCTGACACATTTTAAAAACATAAAAAATAATCTGAAAGCTGGAGCTCCTTGACTTTAAACTAGGCTGACATGACCAAACCCATTCTTATCCTCCTGTCACAACAACTAAAGACTAATGGAAGCATATTAAATGTGCCTTATTCAAAACCACTAATGGGAATCCTGATCCTGGTATTTTAGCAATAAAACTGTTTAAGGTTCCTTGTCTATACATTTATACTTCAACAACCACTGATGTTATTTAAATAAAATGACTAATTTACTGGATAATCATAAATCTGGGTAGCTTGCAGAACAAACACTGCTCTTGCAGAGGTACTTCTGTATTTTTGTTAAGCTACAAAGCAAATTCTAAAAAGAGGGAAATGTGCAATTGGGGAAACAAATGGATTTTTAGATTACAAGAGCCCACATGTCCACCCTACTACTGGAGCTTTTCCAGTGGTCCCTTTGAAGCTCTACTGCCTCGCCAGGGCTCAGTTTCTTGTGGTTCGCTATTGCAAGTGAGGACCATCCTTAAGACAGTCGGTGCTGTCACTTGTTTGCGACGCGAGACAACTATGAAGGACACTGCAACAATGACATACCGGATGGACTGCCGTGTTGCAGCATGTAGTGTGGATTTTCAACATTCAGTAATAATAAAATTGCACATTTTGCATTTTTAAAAAGGGCATAGGTTCTGTTAAAGAAGTCACTTCATAACTCATGTAGTTATGTGACTCCCCCACTTTCCAAATCAGTGGCCTGCAGTCTGCTTGCTTGCCCAACTCAGCTGACTCGGAACCCCGACTGAGTAGGTGCTACAATTGTAACTGATAGGAGGCCCCAGCCCCAACTGGAAAAAACTCAAATCAATGAGAGCTGTACCAATTAGATACATATGAGACCAGAACCTATTTCTGGGATCATGATTAGTATGACAGTACCTCATCAGGCTGAAGAAGAGGATCCCCCATCATACATGCTTAGAAGTATAAAAGTCTTTAAAAACTAACATCACATTCTGTTGTTGAGGGAAAAAGTCCAAACATACCGACAGCTGCGATGGCAGGAGCTCTGTTGTAGATGTATTTGGTGCACACGTCCTTAATGGTGTTAGCGTTGATGGCCTGTCAAGAAGCGTTGCACATTTGACAACACAGTAATTCACCAACACAGTTACACTTTAAAGGTTTGCCACTTTAGGCAGCCAAGTAAAATTTTAGAATGCAGACGGTTTTCATACAAGTTTTTTTTTTGCAGGTGAAATATGAAATTAGGAATAACAGCCACATTTGTTTTACACTGACATAATCATTAGAAAAGAAAAAAAAACCAAGATAGGTATTTTAGGTTTTCAACATTCTGGGTTTTTTGGCTTTTTTTTGTCGAGGAAATGTAGTCCACTCACATCAATGCGAGCCTCCAGTTCGTGCAGAGGTATCCTGCGACTGTAGCACAGCATCTGTCTACCAATGTCCTCACAGATTGGAGTGGATCCTGAAAAAAAACAAAACCAACGTTGACACGAGGAACCACTTTAATGTATGATTTCCTATTGTGTTACATTACCGTCAAGATGCAGAAGCATATTGGTCTTGAGTAGATTCTTGGCCCGAGCCACCTCGTTCTCTGTCACACTCGTGCACAGAGACATCCTGTCAGGAGCAGTCGATGTCAATACATTTGGTTTCTGTTTTTTTTTTCTTAATTTAGAAAATGGCTACCGAGGTACTGACCATTCCATCTGAGTGAAGTGCATCATGTCAGAGATGGTCCCTGGCTCACACACCATGTAGAGCCCCCACAGGCCCGTGTCCGTGTAGCAGGTGTTGAAGGACTGAAAGCTGTGACACAGATTTCCCTGACAGGCCATCTGAGCCAGTTTACTGGACAGATTCTTGGGAGGGAAGAAAGAGATCAAACAGAGACGAAGAATAGAGTGAGCAATGTAAACAAAATGACGACTAACTACAGATGCTTGTTTGAGTGTAAATTATGATTGAGGGCACTTTTTTCTGGATTAATCTTCCCATAACTGAGTAAAGGTTGAGATATGGTTTCAATTATAACAATTTCAAATTTGTGAATTGTTGGGTTTCTGTAGTTAACTTCAGAGTAGGGTCTGACCTGCTCTGTTTGGAAAGCGCTGTGAGACAACTGTTGTGATGTGGCGCTATATAAATAAAATTGAATTGAATTGAATTGAATTTCATGGTTCAAGTTATGGGTGATACATAAAAAGGAAAATCCAACTCAAGATAGTCTGATCATTTGTTTGTATTTTAACGTCATGACGATGTACAGTATTGTTGTCAAATTATTATTCTACTATTATAATTATAGAATTCAATGGCAAAAAATGGCAAGGTGGAAAAGGTGTGGTGTGAAAATTGAAACGTGTCATCAGTGTTTTGGGTTTCCACAGCACTTACCACCCCGCCACCAAATGAACGGTCCCAGTTTCCAATAAGTGTATTGGCCACCATTAGGGGGATGGTGTCAGGGTGGGCCCATCCTACTGCCTCAACTGCGATTGCAATATGAGCCAGGGGCATTTTGTCATCCCGCACACGGATCTGAAATAGAGTTTATATTAAACAAAACCCATAGAACACATCTTTACTGTGACAATGTGCTCTGAAATGATAGAAACGAACTAAAAAAATCTTAAAATATTTGTAACATCACTTTTGAAAATCCTGCTAAGGAGCTCACTTTCTCAGAGTGTTCAGCTAATTAACTATTTTGACACTCATTTTGACTCTGTTCCTGTCTACAACAGGGAAGGGCATTAAAACTGACAGGTAAAGCGAGTAATGCAGCTCATGTCTTTAGAGTGCATAGTTCTTTTGAAACTACTTCCACATCAACATCCTCCACATTTGTCGACAGCCCTCCTCCAACTCAGCAGTCTCTACTAACTGGCCAGCACTGAGTTCCGGAAAAACTATTTAGGAGAGGCTTTAAGGAAATAGCTACTGGTTATTTTCCACTACTACCTACTCAGTGCGATTTGGCTTCAATCGACTTGTTGATTTTTTGGGAATTTCCAGGTAGCCTACTAGTACTTTCAAACAGTTGTTGCAAGAATACAATTACTCAGATCCAAGCGAGCAGAATCAAGTCAAATACAGCCAGTAGGACCAGGGATTAATATGACTGGATGAGTCATGAAAGCCACCCCTTCACTAGAACCCCAATTTTAACGACTCAGCAACAACAGACATGTGATATAATCATTTCTGTGATCCTATGTGTCATAAATGGCTAAACTTATACCATCACCAGGAAAACCAGGAACTGATGGACAAGAGCCAAAAGAGTGAGGAATTCATCTGGCCTATGATGGTTCTGATAGTGCCTAAGGGCAGCAAAACCTATCCCCAAAGACCCCACAAGCCACAGGGCAAAAAAGGATCAATAGCTAACACCTTGGCTTTGAACACTCTAGGATGACAGTTTTTGTCTTTCTCTGACTAGTCAGAGTGAAGAACATATACTGGAATACATTTTATACTTCCTAAATACTTGAACCTTCACTCAAGATATATATCTTTCTCTATGTGATGGCATAAGGCTGCTCTAAACGTTGAAAACTGCAACCTACCTCGCTTCCTGTGAAGTGACATGGTGGAAGTGCTGGGGCTTCTCCTTGATATCTGCCGGGAAGTTTCCCAAAGTGATACTTTGCCAAATTGATGAGTTCATTATGGCAAACACCTGATCAGAAAAAGATCACAGTCCTGAGGGTCAACACCATCTAAAATGGACATCTCTGTTTGTTTGGATGTCAAAAACAACCGACAGACGGGAAAACATATTTGAAATATTACCATAGATGTGTCACCACTTTGTAAATTCATTTCACCTCATTCTAGCTAAATTCAATGTGACACCAATTATCTAACCTCCAGCGGCAGCCAGGACAATTCTCGGTCCTTTGTAGTGAGTGGTGATGTATTCAACCAGGTCTCCTCTGTTAATGGTCCTGCATTACAAAAACACACACATTGGACTAAGTATGGGGGAAATCTTAAACCTCTTGAAAAGCCAGACTTCAAAGAAGCTACTAGTAGAAACAAAAAAAGAAAAGAAAAAAAAAACCTGTTTGGTCTTACTTGATGTTCTCAGTGGGGCCTAGAATGGTCCTGCCCAGCGCTGTGGACTGGTATGCTGTAGCATGCAGGTAATCAAAGACCACTTCCTGCAGATTTGTCTCCACCTCCTGCATCTCCCTGAGGATCACACCTCGCTCCCTCTCGATCTCCGCCTCACCTAGTGTGCTGTTTTGGATGATGTCGGCCAGGATCTCAACAGCTTAGAGAACACAGGAATTTTCAGGAAAATGTGAACCGACTACATATCATATCATAATATGAGAAAATATTTATATCATATGTTAACTCAGAATAACTTAGCTGTTGTGCTACAGCAAAAGTTATGATAAGAATAAGCAAGAGTCATCGAATGTCTACAATTTATGCATCTCTTCACTGACTTAAATAAAGAGATGAATTTGAGTTTTTAATAAATCACAGTTCATTGTATTTTATAGTGTGTTTTCATTACAAGTAAATAGTAACTTGTTTCTTTGTTTTCCATTCTAGGTAGTAACAAGAAAATACCAGAAGTACTTTTTTTGGTATGCAAGATGAGCTTCCAAGCAAACCCATATGATACTATAGGATGACTTAAACATATTATACTGTCACATTATACTGTAAGCCAAAAGTCAAAACTAACCAACCAAAGATCTCATATCGTAACAGGAGTCATCACTTTTGTAAAGCAGGATTACTTGTGGTTCTGAGAATGTAAGTAAACTGGGAGGCAGAGACTTTAACTATCAAGGTCCTAGTTCTGTTTCATGAGGCAGGCACCCTAGCTTTATTTGCTATTAAACTAAAATGTCTCTATTCTATTAAGTAGTAATAAGTGAGACATAGGTAACCGCAAGTTAGTACTTAGTTATTCTAAATTTTCCAACCTCCCATGACTTCGGCACATTCCTTCTAATTCCATCTCTGTTTTTGTGTGTAAATACTAACATTCTACATATTTAGAATATTTTTTAAGCCACATACATCATTTGTTACATCGGTGATGATTTCTTTTTACTGTACAAGATATATATATATATATATAGTATAGTAAGATATAGTAAGCATGTTAATGACAAATAAGCCTTGTTGCAATCATGTCAGTTTTTTTCCTCATCCCAGTGCCTCTTTGATATCACTGCATTGATCTGTTCCTCTGTCAGTCCATACCTCGAGGAAGATCTTTTGAAAAAGCTTTGGCGTAGTAGACAGTCTGCTCTCGAGACGTGTAAGCATTCAGATGAGCACCCATGTTTTCAATTTCCAACTCCAGATCCAGCTGAGAGCGTTTCCTGGTGCCCTAGAATGCATAGTAACAGACACACATTTGAACAATATTAGTATTGGTTTAGTAAGTGACATAAAATTATCTGGACAAATTCCAGCTAGTAGGACCACATTTTTCCATTTTTCACCTTGAATGCCATATGCTCCAGGAAGTGTGCTGTGCCATTATTTCTCTGATTCTCATAGCGACTACCAGCATCAATCCAAAGACCCACCTGGAAAAGGTCAATCATGAATAACATCAAAGCACTAATGTGTGATGGGGAAGGGGCATTTGAGGGTGACATTGTGTGACAGTGTGATACATATTTTCACTTTTTCGTGTAAATAACGTAATAAAGCAATGGGTGTGTGAGCTTAAAAGCGGAACCTTCAACTTACCGTGCAAGTGGTCAGCCCAGAGTCCTCCGAGGCCACCCGGAGTCCGTTTTCTAAATCAGTAACTTTCGTTTCAGGAACATTTAACGCCACCTGGTGAGCCGCTTGGGTAGCCAACAGCTTCTGGGGTCTCGTGAGCTACGACATGAGAAGAGCCAATCACCATGACACTTCAAATTCAGACCGCTTACGTCACCTGTTATCAATCAGCAGCAGTTTCCCTGCCTGTGTCAACGATAGTTCCCTGCCAAACTTGAGAATTAATCGACTGGTTTAACCGATTAGGGGTGTAGCCAACAATAGCCATCATTAAAGAGCCAGCTCGTGGTCCCGAAACGTTTCTACCTTAGCATTCCTCGTGCGAACTGCCGAGGGGCTTGTGAAAGGAATATTACATCGAAAAACTGACCTTAAACACAATATACTTACCCCGTTCAAATAATTTGTCTTCAGTACATGTCTTTGGAGAAGGAGTTTCCCCGCAGACGAGAAACGCTGTAAGGACGCCGCCATATTGTTTATTTGGATCAGTGCGCAAGTGCGACGTTTGGTGACCCAACATCCGACAGCGATTACCAATCCTTCTTAACAAAATAAGAAATGTTTAGCTTTTTAAAACAACCACACTTGTAACCATAATTACGCTGCAAACCCAATTCAAATATTCACGACACAAAACAATGGCAGCTCAAAATTTACACGGGGGGGAACATGTTTATCATAACTTCACACTGGGGCGGTTCAGCTTATGGCACATGGTCAAACTGTGTATTTTTAGAAAGATGATGGACACTGCTTCTATTTTGACTATTTTTATTATGATAATTAATAACAAGCAATGCTATTAAACTAGTAACATGAAAGCAAAAAAGAACAAAGGAGCCAGAATGACAACCTTAATTAGATTATAGTGTCCGTAAAAAGTTACCTCAATTTTAAATTCCCATTTTCTATAAGGAATATGAATGTAACTAAGTCGTCCACCTCAGTTTCAAGCAGAATCTGGACTGATTTGTAGCTTTTTTTAATTGATGTCGATTTCAGAGACACAAATATCTTCTCTACGTTAAATTTGAAAAGGCCTGACAGTTGTAAAGCGGATGTGGCGGAAATGTAGGTTTAGCCTAGCGGGAATTTTCCTGTTCCTTTAGTTCGTTTGTTACCTTCTTCACCCTGGCGCAGTAAAAAGAAGGGCTAAACAACGCTGAAAGAAGAGTTTCATGCAGAGACGAAAGTCGTTTTTTCGAAGGTAGTCATTTTAAACACGCTTGTCTTATTTCCAGCTGGGTTTAGCTTGAAGTTCCGAGTTAGCCATTGCCGCTCTTCAGTGGCCTCAATTCAAATGCGGTTGACGACAGCTACTATCTTTGCTGTGCCTTCCAGGTAAAGAAGAAGAAAATGGCAGATCTTATGGACGGTAATCTGGAGGATGGGGAGATCTCGGGGTCGAGCTCAGATACGGAGATGGGCTCTGGTGCAGCGGAGCACGTCAGACCTCAGGTCCCCACAGTTTTTAGCGGGCTGCCCTTCCAAGGCAGAGCCGCTGACCAGCCACCTGCCGCCGCATACCGCAGCACCAGCAAGGCGGTGGATTCCAGCGATAGTGACCCGGACTCGTCGGACGAAGAAGGAGCTGTCTGGCGTAGGAAGCGACAGAAGGTCTTCAACGTTCCTCAACCGACTATAAACCCAGTTCAGCCCGAGCCTACGTCTGCGCAGGGGGGCCGCAAGGTTAACAACATCTGGGGCTCTGTGGTCCAAGAGCAGTGCCAGGATGCTGTGACCGCAGAGCTGGGCATATTTGGAATGGAGGGAGTCGGCATGTCCAGCAGAAATGTGGAGACGTACAACTTTATCCTGGCCCGTAAGATCATGGAGAAGGAGAGGGAGGCGGAGAGGCAGAAGCAAGGAGGGGAAGTGAGCATGCTTGATGCCGAGCTGGAGGACTACATGAAAGGTGGGGCCTCGGAATTAGACAGAGCAGGCGGGGATGCAAAGAGAAAAAGATCGGTTAAAGAGAGACTGGGCCCCTTAGCTGAAATGGACATCAAGGGCCGGTTTGAAATCACAGAGGACGACCCTGACGATAAGGTGGTGGAAGAGATAGCGTACAGACTGCAAGAACCTAAGAAAGACTTGATAGAACGGGTTGTGAGAGTTGTGGGGAAGAAAAAAGCCATCGAGCTGCTGGGAGAGACCGCCACGCTGGAGGAAAACGGTGGTGTGTACACCATGGACGGCAGTAGGCGGCGGACACCCGGGGGAGTCTATCTTAACCTGCTAAAGAACACACCCAGCATCACCAAGGCTCAGATCAGGCAGATATTCTTTGAGGAGCAACAGCGAGATTACAAGAGCAAGAAGGCCGCTCAGAAGAGGAGGCGGCACTTGGTGGCGAAGAAGATGAAGCAAGCCATTGGCACGCTAAACCTGCAGGAGCACGATGACGTCTCCAGGGAGACTTTTGCTAGTGATACCAACGAGGCCTTGGAATCATTGGAGGAGGCCGCAGAAGAAGAAGAAGTGGAGGAGGCTCATGAGGAAGCAGCTGTGGGCACAGATGAGACAGCAGTGGTCTACAATTCAACAGACCTGGAGGTTTTCTGAGTAGCATGTAGTCTAAACAAGGATAATTTCAACTAAGACTGGAATTACCCACTGAAATCACTGTACAAGTAATTAATAGAATCACACCGTGTCTTTTCTTCTCACCTTAACAATAAAAATGCTTATGCTTATGGTGGAAACTTAGATTTTTTCAATCTTTTGGTTGTAGTTTAAATTTGTTTTTGTTGTTTCTCAGTATAAATCTGGAAGTGTCAGACAAACATTCTTTTGTGGTGGTTTATGCCATCAGAATTTTTTTTCGTGTTAATTTGTCCATTACATGAATTAAAAAAAGTAAAGCTATTAACCTGTTTGATGTTTTTCATCAGTGCAATAAAGGTTCATAACTGTCATAACAACTTGTGCAGATTGTTGGCCAGGTGTGCTTTGTGTGCCACAACAAACCTATTAGCATGAATTCATGAGTAGAAACAAAAATGGACCTTTACAGTTATCATTGTGTATATGTTAGTCCACTAGATGGCAGGCATGCACCTTTGTTAAATTATGAAGATTGCTTAGGTGGACAGGTTTATTTAAAATACGTAAATTGAAAAAATACAAACATGCATATATAAATAAGCATTAAAATATTTATATTTTACTTAAGTTAGTATGCCTAATTTTAAAATCAATTATAATGTATAATGTATCATACATACTCAAGAAAATTATTGCAATGCAATATCAGCAGTCTTCTAGGAACAAAAGCACTGATTATAGTCAGAAAAGTAATTTGATTGATTATATTTCAAATGTATATAGGCATTTGATTTAACAACCCAAAACTGACTTGTCATCAATCTGACTTTAAAGGCAAATTTGTAAAAATATACTTGCTTTTATTGTTTCATATAACGTAGTACTATGTTAATTTACATTGGGGGGGATCATAGGGAGCTTTAAACTTGCCTTCATTATTTTGAGGTTTTTTGACTCATGACAGTTCAATTCAATCACCAATTCAGTTTTCAGAGAAAAGGCAAACAGGTTCATGCAGTCCAATCTGAATGTATGCAAGATCTTATCATGTAAACACCTTTCAGCAAAGTGAACTTATGACAAGTGTAAAAGTATCTGTGTTGAGAAAGACTACCTCAAATGAAGTTATTTTCCTATTATTTGTTGCTTAAAACTTAAAGAGTTCCCTCATCCAGTAGGAATTAATGAACCCATGACCTGAAACTGGTCTTCTTAAGAGGTTAATTAATGAAAGGAGCCCTTATGACAAAGATAATTGATGTACCTTTACAGTTATAGCAGTTCATAAGATTTATGGAAAGTTTCCGAATAAGGCCAATGCCATCCAACCTCAACCTGAATATATGTTATTGTGTTTCTTTGGACTGAAGAAACAGGACCTCACTGTATAATTTGTAGTTCCAACTTATTTGCCATTATAGGGGATTCATTCCCTGTTTCTACATGGAATGGAATTTTTTATTGCTAAGTGTTAGCTAGCCTGGCATAACTATTTATTTTGTTTAGTGCTTGACAGTTAGCATGACGAATTACATTACTTTCAGTGCAATCTGCTGTCTTTCAAAACTCGGTAAATGAAAGTGAACGGCAAAGGTTTTGCTACACACAATTTATATAATGCTTAGGCAATAATAATAATTCATAACTAATTAATTACACATTTTTGTTGGATAAACTTGTTAGCGCAATTTTAATGTCCAATGGTCAAGGAAGAGCAGTGCACTCGCACAGTTTTTTACCTTCCAGTGTTTGGTTCATAGATCAGTATTTTTAATTGAGTCAAACTTTCTCAGAAGACAAATGCCCCCTGCTAAAACAGCTACATCTAAATCAAAGCAAAGTATCCAGTCATCCCACACAGCTCAGGGGGAGAGCGAAAGTCTTTAATGATTGCAGTGGACTTGTCATCTGAATCGCCTCAGAGATTATATTTATCTCCGCTCATCACTGGCATATTAAAGGCCCAACAGTCTGGCAGAGGCACATTTAGTGGTCCCACCCCTCGTGGCCGTTTTCACATTTGTCCCCTCTGATAAAGTGTCACTGCGTATATCTGGATTCTGTGAGGCAATTAAGCAGGCTGATTAAGCTCAACAAAAGGTGCCGAGAACATGTTTTCCAGCCGCTGGGTTTTTACTGTCGCTTTTGTTTGGCTGCACAGTGTACTGCATTTGTTAGCATTCAACTAGAAAGGAGCAGTTTTGCTTTAATGATACAGGTGATCAAAGCGGGGATTATCAAAGACACGCGTGTGGAGCAGAGGGGTGACTGATGCTCTGCCTCTTCTTATTCATGTGGAATTGTTACACGTTGTCTCTGGTCTCAGGACCTCTATATCTGTCACCTGGCAACAAACTTGTTGCCTGGTTACAACGCCCTGTTTCTGATTTCAATTGGATCGGGCAAACAGGAGCTGAAAGATTTGTATCTTTGCGCAAGTTGCTAAATATATCAGCATTTAAATATGCAGTATTAGTCTTAAAAGTTGTATATGTTTATTGGTGTAGTATCTTCCTAAGAGGCAAAGAATATGTCCACGGTAATGGGCCAAATTTAGTACATTCCTTTTCTCAGTTGTAATGATTACAAGGGTTTAAGGTTTATTTATTTCTTCCAAGGTTTGGGGTTCATTCCCATCGGTTAATCTGGACCTTTCAATCAGAATTAGACAACAGAACTACTCTTCACAGATAAAGGCTGCAATCTTTGTTGTTTCATGTGGCAGAAAGAATATCAGTACAGGTGAGTTAGATAACATCATTGGAGAACTATTGAGAAGAGGCAGTGACTCATCGCTTTCACTGAAACAGAGGTGACCCAGTTGGGAGCAGAAAAAAAAAACTGTGAGACACATTCATAAAGAATGTCAGGTCATGGGCAGATATTACATTACACTGTGTTGTTCTCATAAGAAACATACTAATGTCTTCGGTACCGCTCACTTCTTTTTGATTGATTGCTTTTAGTAGCTTCATTCATTGCAATTAGTAACAATCGATTGGTTTAGTTCCTGATATTGGTGTTTAGCGTTCAACTGTGTGAGAGACAGAATTTAGTAACCTAAATCATTCTTCCAAAGCAAAACTGACATATGTTGCCTTGTTTTAAACCCTGCAGTTAGTTCTACTTAAAAGTATGATATCAGGTTTTTTACATCAAAACCCTTTTGATACAGAGGTTCGTTAGTAATGTGTGCATGGACATTTTGAATTAAATCACAGACATTACTTTTGGTTAGTACCAAAACTCATTAATTCAACAGTCAAAAATTCTCTGGATTTAAGAAACATTCATTGACATTCATCCTCATACTGTATCTGTGGTGCAGTCATGGAGGCAACAATTTTAAGAGAGAAACACAGTGAGAGACACAACAATATTTTCTGGCTCCTTATTGGTAGATCCCAAGGCATTCCCAGAGCAGAAGGGATATTTTGTCTCCAGGGCTCCCAGGACGTGTATATGCCTAGAAAACCTCAAATGTGACCAGGAGGCACCCTAAATAAATGTCTGAATAACCTCATCTGTATAGTTTTGATGCAGAAAATAATAAATATACTCTAAGCTTCCTCAAGATGGCTGAGCTCCTCACAACCAACATTTACATATTTTTAAACTTTCAGTCAAGACACCTAAGATTGAAGGATGTGCTATTACTAGACTTTGACTGGAGCGCCTCTTCTCCCTCTAGTAGGCTCCTCGTGTCAAACCAGTATCCCTACAATTCCCATAATATGAAAGACAAATTGGATCAAGTAGTATTTGGTTGTTTTTCCTTTTCTAACTGTTAGTGTCCTTGGCAAACAAACCACTGGCATTTAAAGTTTTTTTGTTATAAATTATAATATCATGTTGAGAGAGGTAATGATTAATACTGTGCAGGACTAAATATGTTGTGGCACAAGAGGAGTAAGAAATATTATACATCAGAGCACACAAAGGTGGAACAATTAGAGAAAAGATTAATACAAACAGGTAATGAAATGCAAAGTAACCTTTCCAAACCCTTTGTCTTATGACACCAAATCTATAAAGTTGCAAATTCAAACTTTGGTTTGTTCTGACTATTACTGATTGTTTCTTGTCATGTTTTTATTTTTCAAATGACTCATCTACATTGAATAAATTAGCTAAATCAGTTTCTGGCATAAAGTACCAGTTGTGTTCTTGGTTTTAGGTCGTGTTTTCTGGTGTCTGTCTTCCATTTCCTTCGTTTCCTTGTGTCTTTGCCACCGTTGTTTATGTCCCTCAGTTTCCTGTGGTTTCCTTCAATCTTTTTAAACTTAGTTTTTATTTACTTGTTTTATTAGAAAAATACAAAATTACAAATTTAGCTGTGGCTGGCTGGAGAGTAGAAGAACAAAAGGCTCTTGCTAAAAATGATTAAGATGTCTATGTTAGTCTGTGTTAGTGTAAATATCAAGTAAGAAAAAAGGGAGCAAACAAGAAATTTCTAACTATAATTGATGTCATGTTATTATGTGAGAGTATAGAAGTGAGTGTTGACAAAGCCTCTTTGTCCACATGTAGTTCCAGTACCATTGGCTTTCTCTCAAAGAGCCCTTGGTGAACTATAATCAGTGTCTTCTACACATTTCTTTTTCAGTAATCTTCTTCATGGTTTCATGTTCTTCATGTGGGTGGCCTTTTAGTCACAGTTAAGGAGCCAACTATGCGACCACAATATGACTACATCTTCATAAAGGATGAAGACATGATGCAACTCACTCAGAATGACGGTGTCGTTGTGTGTCAGTGCAGAGCTTTGATTGTGGCTTAATAGAAAGCAAACAAATTCATTTTCCGACAGTGGTTTGTATTTTTTGATCATCAGTGTATACACTTAACCTCTTTATATTGAAGTTTTTTTTTTTGCATTAGCCTGAAAACTGTCTATACAAGCACATTATAATTTTCCATATTTGTAGTTACCAAACTATTTCCCATTGGAATTAACATTACATCAAGTAGTTGGAGTGTGCAATGTTGAACTTTATCAAATTGTACATTTCTGTACCTTGTTAGCGCCTCTCTGATCCTTTCAGCTGTTGAGGAAGTGCTGAAAATTAATGAATGAATGAATGATATCATATTAGATTAGATTAGGTTATTTTACATTACATCATATTATAGTGTCACTTGATAAAAATATAGGATGTTACTCTAGATTATCAAATTCAATTAATCCACAACATGCACATTCTTTTTTCTCATGTTTATTTAAATTGTTTCAATGTTCTTTAACCTTTTTTCAATTTTCCAATTCATGTTATGTTTAGCAGTTTGATAAAAAAGAGAAGGAAAAAGATCCACATATCCTGAATCATTATTTAGACATTTCCACATCACACTGAATTCCATCAAACTTTCTGCACAAACCCCCTTCAGAAGCAGGTTAGCTGTATCAAGTAGCTTTTGTCTTTTTAAATGCTTTCGTAATGTGTTTGCAGAGGAGGTGGGGAATATGAGTAACAGGGTATGAATGTATGAGTGAGCCTCTCAGGTTATCGGTTATCAGGGTTACTCCACTTACCAGTGACAGTCAGCAGAGTAATAATAAAATAGAATAGCAACACCTTTATTCTCCCATGCAGAGTAAATTCAGGTGTAACGGCAGAAAAAAATTGCATAATGTTAATATGTATTAAAGTCTATTTACTATACTGGCAAAAATGATCATTTAGAAATAAGTAACAAACAGAGTAGATGCAAATGCTAGCATGTATGTAAATACTTATGGATTTTGTTAGGACCATTGATGGTTGTAGAGCCTGACAGTTGCTTAGAGGAAGGATTTGGAGTAACACTCCTTTGTCCATTTCGGATTCAGCACTCTCTCACCGTAGGAGGTCTTCAGCTCAGTAATAATTGCATCTGCGGGGTGGGAAACATTGTCCATCAGTGATGTTTATTCTAGCAAGGGTCCTTCTGACCGTTTCGAAAAATGGCTGATACTACCGGAGAGTCAAAGGTCTTCAGATGATAGATAGATAGATAGATAGATAGATAGATAGATAGATAGATAGAT